TGCTTTTATTTATTTTTTGTTAGTTGATATTGTCTGGCTTTGAATTTATTTCCGCGAAGTTAAGATAATAGTAACAAAGAAGGGGTTTGTATTTTGTTACCCTTGAAAGAGGCGCTGTTCTGGCCCGGGATTTTAACACATTGGAAATACTCTTTCAGACTGAAACTTATCGCACATCCTTGGTATTTGCTAATCTGCTGTTTTCCAAGGATTTACACTCATCTCTTCACATACCATTCCATGGCACAGTCATGACCATGGGTTCAGGATGAATTAGCCTAAATTCCAGCCCCTGTGATCAGTGTCAGCTGCAGACAGGCCTCACTCAGCCCCGACATGTGAATCTTAGTGTGCCAACTGGGATGTGCAAAAAATGTGACATTTTTGAATTTTCTTTAAATCAGCTTAAATCCAGCTGGAAGCTCCTGTACCACTCTGTTGTGTCAGTGACCTGGGGGCTTAGCCCCTTTGGACACTGGTTATGGTCCACCAGCTGCTGCTAAGGGGCCCTTCGTTGCAGCCTGCATGGCCCCTTGGATACAGAGGCTGTGCCATGCCTGGCATGGGAGTAGTTGGTAAGACATGCAGCATCTGTACCTGGGTCTTGCCTTTCCATTCTGAAAGGTTGAAGAGCTGAATGTCAATCTCTCCTTACCGTGGGACCCACCAACCTTTGTCTCTTTCCCAGGCCCTGGGTTTGCCCCTTTTTCTTTTTGTTCTTAAAGGCACCCATCTGCTCATCCCCTGGGACTCCTGGCATCCTGTCTGCAGGTAGCTTAGATGCTTGCAAAAGGCAGAAGAGCCTCTGATTGACAGTGACTTCCGTTTCCCTCTTTTAAAAATCACTGAGGGAAGGAAATACTATTTCCTTGTTTGAAATAAGATGAAAGGGAACATATAGGGGGAATAAACACAAACTCAGTTATCTTGCTGTAGGCTCTCAAACCATCTCCTTGTCCTCTGTGTCTCAGGAATGAGCCTTGTCATGCTGCAGAATGGTGGGCTCTGCACCCATGAAACAAGGCATTGTTCCACCCATT